ACCACAAAGTCAGCCTGCTGGAAGCCGGCTGTCGCCAACTGGCACTGGACCTGGGTGAAGTAAGGATGATTCTTCTTCAGGGTGTAGGAGTCCCCATCCACCTCCAGGCAGAAGTCCTTGTCCTTGCAGGCCTCACGCACCGTCCTGTTTCTGTGCTTGTAGGGACACTTAACCTCCAGCAGCCCCAGGTCCTTCCCTGTACTCTCCTCTTTGATGACTCCATCTGGGCTGGCAGCAAGCCACTTCTTGTCTGGGTGAATGAAGAGGCCACAGTCCTCCACCTTCACTGGCTTGCCCACCGCCCTCGACTTCTGCTCGTAGGCCTGCACGGCCGCCTTCTCATTGCGAATTCCCCAGGACATGGCCGGGGTCTGCAACCCAGGGCCAGGGTTTACCACAGCTTTCAGGTAGGACTGGGGCACCTCATCTGTCTTGCCATTGGCAAACTTGCTGTTGGCAATTCTGGAGGCCACGGAGGCCGTGATGCGGTTCTCCCGCCACTCGTACCACTTGGGGTTGCTCCACTGGCCCCGTGTCTCCTTCTCCACCCGTGGGATGTCCTGGCTCTCCACAGGGGGCAGGAACCGGCTCAAGGCTTTGCTCGGGTCAGCCCCAGGCTGCTTCTTCTGTGGACATGAGGCAGGTCTGGCCGGACCAGCGGTTGCTTTGGAATCAGACGACTTCCTCTGGGTTGTAGAGGAACTCCTGGGAGATGCTCTGCTCTGGTCCCCCGCATCTCCTCGGGCTCTACAGGATGCTGTGGGTCTTGTCTGAGCAGAATCTGCCTTTCTTCCCTGCCCCTGACTGGGGGTGGTAGCCTTGGCAGCTGGAGCACTTTGGGATCGGCTGCCTGCAGTCGTGGTCCTGGCCCGGGTGGCCGAAGCGGAAGGTGGTGGCGCGGCAGGGGCAGTTTTGGAGGCAGTTGTGGCCGCTCGAGGGGATGATGTGCCAGCGGACTCCTTCCTGGGTCTTCCCATTGCTATGAGTCAGAGAGTCTTATGCTGTGGGCATGGAATAAAGTTTAATGCAAGTCCCCAGAACACTCATTTCCTTTTCCTTGCCCCTCCCTGCGCCTGCCCCAGGGCGCTGTGTCCCTGCCAGAGCTGCTGTACTCACCCCCTTCTCCGATGTGCCACTGTGGAATGGCGGCTGATCCTGCTGGGCTGCTTGTTCTCAGCCCCCTTCCCCGCATCCCAGCCCGGGCCACCCCAAGGACAGGGCGGGGGAACAGCGGGACTCCCCAGGGCCACCTCCGTGGGGACGCGGCAGCGGTGCCCGCGGGCGCCGCGGTTGCCCGGGGACCGGGCGGGATCCCCGCGGGCCCATCCGCTCGGCCAGCGGGGATGCCGGACACGCACGGGGGGCCTGCCCGGCTCCGTCCCGGGGACCCCACGCGCGGTCCGAGACCGGGGCACGGAGCTCCCCCAGCCTTCCCACCCGGAGCCGCCTCTCTCACCGCTCCGCCGCCGCTCCGGAAGCGCGTCCCGCTCGCACCACGTGCTGCGGGGGCGGCCCGAGGCGTGCGGGGGGGACGTGCGGTGCTGGGCCGAGCCCCCGGTGCCCGCTAGAGGGAAGCAGTCGCACGGCCATCCCCGCCGCGGGATATGCCCGGACCTGCCCGCTCTGCTCCCGGCCCGACACCCCCCTGCCTTCCCCCGATTCATCCCCCACCTCACCCGGGCTCCCCAAACAACATTTTACTCCGGGCTAGGGACAAGCCCCCACAGCCCCCACTCGCGGCCAGGGGAAACCGAGCCTGCCCCCCGTGTACCCCATGCACGCCCGTGGGGAGCGGTCCGAGCCTCTCGGGCTCCACTGCGGAGGGACAGGCTGACCTGATGGGACCCCGCCGAGCCCCGGTGGCCCAAGCTGATCGGAACCTCCACGTCCCACCACGAGCAGACCCTCGGGGGAAGGATGGCAGCGAGAAGCTGGGGCAGCAATACCCACCGTCGGGCACCCGCTGCCCGGCTGTGCTGCCGTGTGAGGAGGGTCACCGCGCAGGGACCGCACAGCTCTGCTCGGAGCCCCGCGGAGGGTTCGGCCGCTGTGGAGGAAGCAGAGAGGGCAGGGCTTCAGCGGCACGGGGAGTTTCTCTTTCCTCAAATCCGGGGTGTCGCTTTCCTGAAATCCGGGGAGTTTCGTTTTCGGCAGCGAGCCTGGCGCCGGAGGGTGATCCCTGGCGGGGTGGCTGCTGCGCGACCCTCCACGTGCCCCCCACAAAGCCGTGAGCCCCCGCTCTTTCCGGTTGCGGAAAGGAAGCTCGGCAGACACCAATGCGTGTCCTGGATCTGGGTCAGAGCCAGCCCCACAGGGGCTTCCAGCCCCATCTGCCTGCGCCAGCATCCTGCAAAGACTTCAGTTTAGTTTGGACAGGCAGAAGTGCTGGCAGCATTCCCAGCCCCTCTCCCCAAGGAACCCCGATGTCTCCACCAGCCTCTCTATCTCTGCTGATGTGTTGTTTCTTTTTTTTCCCTCCAGCCCCTCTGTAACTCCCTGCATCTGGGCAGACCAATATTACACAGGTTAAGCCAAGGTGCACCCGATTTTGACCAGAAGTATCGCTAGCATTCCCTTCCTCCTCTATGCTACCCATCCTCAAGATCTTGTTTAGTTCTTGATGATTAGGGAGCAGCCAAACAGGACACCCCTGTCCCTCTCCCTGCAGGCCAACGCTCTCCCTTTGCAGCTCTAAGTGGGGTCTGAGAAGCTGCAGCTGTGCCGAGAACTGCCAGCCTGACACCAGCTGGCATCTCCTTGGGTTTGGGTTATTTCTCAAATAACTAAACCCACACTAAATTCACAGGGATACCTATCAGTGACTCAGGACCTGAGAGCATCTGTAAGAGCTCTGTGGTTCGTGCCCCTCCAGCCAGCCCTGTCTCTGCGTGATAATTCAGTTCAAGGTATAGGGTATTTGGGGATAAATACCCAGGCCCTGACTGGTCCCTTGGGCTGTGCTGTGGCTGCTGGTGAGGTCTGTGTGGGATCACTTGGCTGTGTGGGGTCACTGGGGTGTGAGGATGCTGAATGGAGCCATTGGACTAAGCTGGGCCTGTGTTTACAGGGTTTAACACATGCCTTAGCTCAGCACTCTGCCGAAAGGCAACACCGAGCTCTCCAGATCTATTTGTGGCTGTGATGAGCTACTGTAGGGAAGCTGTGACAGTGCAGAGCAGGGACACACACGCCTGATGCCTGACACTGCTGGGAACACTGTACAGAGTAGGATGGAGCCTGTCTATGTCTCCCTGGGGCTGCTGTGGTCACCAGTGGGCTGGGGGAGATTCAGCTGTGTCCCCAGTGCTGTGCATGCTGTTGTTATTCACCTGCTGTCACGCCGAGACCAACGTCTGATACCGTGGGCTGGCCAAGCTCCACCACCCTGGCTGGTGGCACTGACCCAGCACTCGCATTTGGACACCTCTCTTTGCCTCAGCTTGGCCTAGAAATGATATCTCAGAGAAAAATCAAAGCTTACAGGGTTTTTTGTGGGTCTGGAGCAGCTCAGCACTTGCCGTGACGATGGGAGCGGGAGTCTCGTGCACGCCGCAGGCTGTGAGGATGTGCTGTGGTGCGTGCGGGGCCTCCAGCAGCTCCCAGAGCTGGCAGCTGTCACAGGAGGGATAATACATGGGTTAGCATCCTTCTTTTCTAAATGAGAGGGAAGGGGAGCAGCTGCACACTTCAGCTCTCCTCTCTCCTTTTGCAGCACGCCGTAGGGCATCTCGCATGGGAGAGAGAATGGCTCAGAGTGCTCTTGCAAGGACCCTAGGGAAGCATAGAGTGCCTCTTGGCCAGATAATTGTTGCTTGAAGCACAGGGTAAGGGGTCAAGAAGGGGGAGTGTGTCTTATGTGCAGCAAAGGATGCCTCCCACCAAGATTTCCCTCTGTTGTTCCTGCCATCACCTGTGAAACCCGTCTCAAGAAGCTGAAGCTGTAGTGACATATGGGTCAACTTAGAGGTGAGATACAAAAATACCTGCCGAGGACTAGGGACTGCTCCCTTCGTGGTGCTGCTGGAGCTTTCTGCCCCAGTTTGTGCCTGGACTGGCTCCAGGTTTGTCATGGCTGCAATGGTGGGTTCTGCAGTGCTTGGGGGTGGGGTGGGGGACTCCTCTCTGTGTGCTCTATAAAAAGAGCTGCAGCAGCACAGTCCTATCTATAGCACAGGGAGCTGCCTGGAAGAGGCAGGGCAGGGATTAGTCCCAAATCAGGTGGATTTCTCTGGTCCCGCTTGGGAACACAGGTCTGTCAGGGGTGGCTGAGGGATTCCCAGTGCATCTCAGGCTGTAAGATCTCCCTGCCAGCATTCATGTCCTGACTTCACTGGGACTTCCTGACTGTCTGCACCTCCCCGGGGGGGCGGTTGTTGTCATACTTGTCACACAAAAGTTGGGCTGTCCCTGAATTCCCCCTCTCTCCTGCTCCTCAGGGCTGGGATTTCACTACAGTCTAATGGGGACAGCCCAGTGGGACCCCAGGGCACCTGGGTTTGGGGTGGATGTGCAGCATCTGGCTGTTTTGTGGTGGTTCCAGGGCGGCTGAGACCTTTCCTGACAGAGCTGGTTGTGACACTTGTGGCCCATGGCATTTATACCAGAGACTTCAGCTGGCTGATGAGGACTGCTTCGCCCTGTGCTTTGTTTGGGGGGGAGCGGGGGGAAGGGGCACAGGGATCGGTTACATGTCCCACTTAGCCAGACTCTGTGGTTTTGGGTGCTGCAGCATCACCTGGGGTCTCACCAGTGCCCAAGTTTTCCTTGAAAGTGATATTCTGTAGGTGCAGAGCAGCCCACAGCCATTGACTCTGCTGGTTCCTGTCACTCTCTGGGGGTGTTGGCCATCCCCTGGGACCCCCAGCATTCCCTGTGAGAGCATCCCCCGTCCTCCCCCCCGGGCGGCGGTACCAGGGAGTGTGTCTCTTTAATGAGGCTGGGCTTGGAGCAGCTCAGCTGCTGGCACAGGGAGTGAGGGATGGAGCGAGGGCGGTGAAGGAGCCAGTGCCAGAGAGGGAGCCTGCAGCAGGGAGAGGCAGGGAAGGACCGCTCATCCCCCGGGTACCGCAGCCATCCAGCCAGAGGGGCAGCGAAACCCATCCCCAGGGAAGAGGGCTCTGCACAGGGCAGGGACCCAGTGGGTTCTGAGCCAAGCCTGCAGCCCCTGTGTCATCCTCCTCCTTCTCCTCCTCCTCCTCCAGGTAAGGGCTAGGGCGGGGGGGAATCTGGGACTACGGTGGCCTAGGACCCTGCAGGTGTCCTGCGATTCCTTGGTGTCCCACAGTCGCACACCCACTGGCAGTGCAGCCCCGGCTCACACGAGGGGTGAGAGGTGGAAGATGAGGTAGCAGGGCCACGAAAGTGCTGAAATCACCATCCGGCAGGGACTGGGCAGGGCTGACTCCAGTAACTGCTGGGAACATGCTCCAGGGTATCTGCAACCGGTCCCTGGCCCACGCCACAGCTGTCTCGTGGTGAAGGAGCACTGGGACCCTTCTGTGGGGCTGCCCCACTGGGATGTGCCCATGTCAGGGGAAATCCATGGGACTTGGACATTTTTTGGGGTGGGGGGTGCCTGTGTTAGGATGTGTTGAGGGCAAGTAACTACTGTTCCCTGGCATTGGACTGAGGTTTTCCAGGGGTTTTAGTGGCTCTGGGGAGGCAAGAGCATCAGCACAGGTCCTGGAGGTGGTGGTCCTGGATGTGGTGTCGGAGCTAGGGCGTGTGTGCATGCTTGCATGCGTGTGTGCAGCGGACTCTGCTCTCTATTTCCACTTCCCAGCAGACAAAGCAGACAGTACTACAGGCTAGAGACTCAGGCTGGGGATAACCCCTTGCCCCATCTGGGAATCCTTTTCCCCTTCAATCGTCTTTGGTCTCCGCAAAGTGGCACATGCCATAGGCACAGGACAGCAGCACCATCACCTCCTGCCTCTGCAACCTTCTCCATGCTCCAGGAGCTGGGATAGATCCTGCCCTTATGTCTTTGTGCCCCATGGGATGTCCCACAGAGAGAAAAGGTGAGGGAAGCAGGGGTAATGTGGACGAGCAGGAGAGGCAGCAACACTTCCTCACTCCAGGCATTGTTGCAGAGGCTTGGTCTCCTCTCCCTCCATCCTTCCTCTTGTACCTGCCTGTGTATCTGTCACCAGTGGAAATTTCCACTTGGTTTGCCTGTGCTGGCGCTGGCCCCCTCCTTCTCTGGGACCACCCTGAACTCTGACACGGGTGGCTGTTGCTGCAGCAGGTGAAACTCTGACAACTCGTCAGACAGCTAAGGAGGATCAGCTGGACTCCCTGCAGCAGCCTCACTGGAAAACTCAACCTGACCATTGGCAATAAAGAAACCCTGAGTTATTCTTACCTAAGGAAGAGTTACCCCTTTGCCTTCAAAGATGACACTTAGCTGCCATCATAGAAAGCTGCCCACTGCCTCCTGTGGCCCCTCTGTACCAGGAATGCTGCTGGTTAAACCAGCTTGTGTGGGCAGTAGGTGGGAAGGGAGGAAGAGGAAGAGGTTGTGAAGGTGCTAGAAATCATGCTGGGGAAGGGAAGAGGGCTGGGGACCTGTTGGTGATGCCACGCTGGCACCTGAGGACAATTTGTGGCCCTGGGGAAAGAGGGCGAAGAGATTGGGGTGAGGACCATCGGGTCTGGTTTTATTCATTAGCACAGGGCTTAGAGCAGCCAGCACAAAGCGTGGCAGGGCCAGATGGGCCCTGTTTACTCTGTGAGGGTAAATGTAAAGAGAAGTGATAAAAAGCAGCCAGGACACCTTCTCCAGTAAGTCCCTGGTAAACAAGCTGGCAGTGACCTGGCTGATGGGTGGCACGGCAAATAGCGGGCAGGTTGCTGAGCATCTAACTGGGTGCCTTGGGAACAAATGGAAGAGCTTTGGGGTGAAATATGTCTCTAATGGCTCAATGTGGCTGGGTCAGGGGAGTCCTGCTCTCCAGAGCCTGGTTGGGTGCTGTGGTCAGGGCAGGAACAAGCTGATGATGTTCCCATCTGTGGCACAGCCAGTGTGGGGGAACAGTGGGCTGTGCAGGGACCCTGTGCAACCTTGTGTTCTGGGAGAGCACTTTGGGGGGCTCAGTAGTGTGTGCAGCGTCCTGCACACAGGTTGAAGGATTGGCGATGGCGGGGAGTGGGTGGTGGCCAGGACCTGCCAGCATAACCCTGCAGTGCCTGTTGAGCAGGTAAATGTCTCTCCTCCAGCATAATGGACTGATTTTTCTGGGATGCAGCCATGTTGCTAATGCACTTCTGCACTTCTGCGAGTCTCCCTGCCTTGTGCTGGCTGTGGGCTTGCTCCTGGTGCTGCCTCCAAGGATGTATCCCTGCTCCACTTTCAAGGGTGCTCTGTGAGAGGCACTCTGTGACCGTGTGCCGAGGGCACCCCAAGCCTCCCATTACCAATGCTCTTATGAGCTGTACCAGGATGAAGGCCACTGGAGTGGGGGCACCAGATGGCTTACTCGTACCTGGCCTTGTCCTTGCCCCAGGCATGTTGCACATTGGAGTACCAGCACATGGTGTTGGGGGGGAGCCTTGCTGCTCTTGGGGCAGGCAGGGGATACAGAGCAGAGGTCGGACCCATGTCTGGAACAGACTCTGTCCACACCATCCCCACATCCACACAGCCGGCATTAAGGCTGACACAAATACTTTACACAAATATTTGATGGCATAGGGTGGGCTGATATTAGAGAGTTGTGTTGGCTCCAGACAATTACTGCTCCTCCTGGGTATTTTCCCCAAGGGGAAGAAAGGTGTGGACTGGGTTGTGCCCTGGCTGGAAGGCATCCCCAATTGCCTCTCTTCCTCCCAAAAGGTGGGACACCAGACACATCCATTTCTGGTCAAAGCATTACTCTCCCAGAGGCGAGGATCGTCCACTTGCCAGGCTCCACCCTGCAGTGCCTTCCCCACTGTGCTGTTCTTCAGTGCAGCGCTGACCTTGTTGTTAATTATTAAACCCCCAGCAAACACTGCTCGTGTCTTTGTCCTAGTTACATTGTGGGCTTCTCGCCCTTCTGGTTTTGGTTGGGGTTTTTCTGTTGTTTTTTTTTTTAAACAAATTACCTTGGTAACCTCTGGGGGTGAATGGAGATGGGAGCAGCAGAGGTTCCTCTCCCAGCCATTGCAAGAGATGGCCTGGGGAGGCTCTGGAGCTGCTCTGGGGTGGTTGAGAGATGAGTTGGGTGTGGCTAGCCAGTATCCAGGAGTCCCTGCTTGTCTACCAGGGCTTGGGGCTTGCATGTAACCACTGCCCACAGGAGTTTTGTTGCCCTCTGTGGACTCCTGTGGCTCCAGTCTGAGCAGAGACCTGGGACCAGGTGTATGTGTTTTGTGGATGCTGAAGAGCAGCATCTTGGGATGAGGGAGGGCTGGAGACCTGCCCCCACTGCAGACTGGGCAGATGGAAATGGCTTGCATGCAGAAACCCATTGCAGCAGACTTTGTCCCTCAGCACCCAGTCCCTGCCTCCCCTCTGCTCACAGCTGCACGCTGACAGACCATGCCAGGCCTCTATGCTCTCTCCTCCTGGGAGGCTCTACCCCTGAAGAGCTCCACGGTGAAGGCTTGTGCCAACGGATACTCCTTGAGCATCACTGCTCACCTCAAGTACACCAACCCCCACGAGGAGCCTGTGGAAGGTAAGAGGGGGTTATCAGGGCTGGCAGAGACCCAGGCTGCCTGCACGGCCTTCTAAAAGCCCCTGGGATGAAGAGCATCTTGTCTCCAGCCCACCTGTGTCCCAACCCCCAAATGTTGCTCAGTCTGGGGAGCAAAGGTGGAGGCCAGCAGAGGTGGGGGCACTGCCACCCATTGCGGGCAGGAGGAGAATGAGACTGAGTAAAAACATTCCCATCACCGAGAAAGAGGGGGATTGCATCCTCCCTCTGGGTTGCTGAGGCTCTGGGTCCTTCCTGCATGGTGCCTTGTTCTCATGCATCTAAATCACCTTGCAAGTCAGAGAGGGTCTCAGCAGGGCTACCACGGGCTATTCAGTGCCACGGATTCAGCCATGCTGGGATCTGCCTCGGGGCTCTCTCCCGCCTGCAGGCATCTTCATCTACCCCCTGGAGGAGTCGGAGGTGGTGGCTGGCTTTGAGGCAGCAGTGGGCAGCCGGCGGGTGACATTCCAGGTGCAGAACCGGCACCGGGCGCAGGACTGCTGCCTCCAGTGCAGCCCCAGCCCCGGCCGGCCGTGCCGCTGTGCCAGTGGTAAGTGCTGTGGTTTGGGTGGTGCTGTTGGCTGTTCCTGGCCGGGAGGCTCAGAATGGGCAGGGGTGAAGTGTGGGGGGATATAAGGGGCTGGAAGCCCCTGCCAGGCCACCCCAGCATCTTCTGGGGGGTGTCTGGGGCTGGAAATCTCAGCACCTCCTTTCCGCTCCCTCCACCTCTCCCAGGGCTCTGCCCATCTTTTGCATGGCCCACATGCCTGTTCTCTGCTGCCATCTTTGAGAGCAGTCAGGGCCATTAATGCCCTCCTCCACAACCCCATACGCCTTGCTGACTCCGCTCCCATCCCTCCCCTGCCCAGGCCACATTGTCCTGGATGAAGATGCAGAGCGTTCCACCTTCATCATCGTCACGGGCACGCTGTGCCCATCGGAGAGCCTGGCTGTCACCCTGAGCACGGCGCAGGAGCTGCCCACGCTGCCGGACGGGGCCCTGCGCCTCCTCCTGCCCCCCGTGCTCACGCCCCGCGTCCCCTCCGACCCCGAGAGCGAGCCGGCAAGCTTGTGTGACGACAGGTTGGCCCTATGGTGATTTTCATGGCTTCCTCAGTCTCCACCATCCTGGGGGGGGGATGCAAATGCTGGGCAAGGGGGGAGAGAGGGCAGGAGCCATCACCCGCTCTCCCCTTGCAGCCCCACCAGCTGTTTCGGGGGGCCAGGTGCCCGGAGCCAAACACCCACCATGGCACCTGTGGAGAGCATGGATGTCTTTCGGGGACGACCCTGCAACCCTTTTCCTTATGAATTTGCCTTCGAGCTGCTGGTGAAGGGCCCCTGCTTGCTGGCAGGTAGCGAGGACGGCTTGGGTGGTATCAGTTCTTGGTGGTGTCGTGTCCCCTGGTTCCTCCATGCTTCTAGGAGGACGTGAGCCCCTGTCCCTGGGCATCCTCTTGCACTCCCTGCAGGGGAAGAAGCCCTTTCCCCATCCCACCCTTGGGGCTGGGACCCCTCAAAGTCACCCTGCCTGTGTGTTTGAGAAGCTTTAGGTCAACAGCCTCCTGTGACCCAGGGAGACACGATGGATAGGGGAGAGGATGGGTGAGGAGGTGGGGATGGGGATGTGCTCCTGGCTGCTTGCCCAGTTAATCCCATTAGATCTGGCAGGGAGTAGGCATTGCTGTGGAGTGTGGTGGGTGGGGGGGTCGAGGAGGGGGTGTGTGAGGGGCTGCCCTGCTGCACTGCTCTCTCCGCAGGGCTGGAGAGCCCATCCCATGCCCTGAGAGCTGATGCGGACCCTTGGGCCAGTTCTGCCACCACCACCTGCGTCACCCTGGCTGAGCCCCACCGCTACGACAGCGACCTGGAGATCATCCTCTACCCTTGTGGTGAGAGGGGACGGTGCTCTTGGCGGGTTGGGGCATCACCCCAAAACCATCCTGAGTATTGCCCAGCCCCTTGTGGCACAGGCTGGCTCCAAACTCTCCTGTGTCCCTCAGAGCCCCACCAACCCCACCTGGTGATTGAAGATGGCACCATGACATACCCCGAGTATGAGGCCCACATCCGGAGCCGCCGGGATTATGTGCGGATTGCCAGGAAGGACAGCAGTGGCGAGAGACAGGTGACAATGCTGGCCCACCAGGGAGGAGGAAGGGGGAGAGGTGCTGGCATGTGGGTGAGGAAGACCCTGACATGGTCCAGGTGGTGTGAGAAAGCTCCTGACCTGCCTGGCTCGCAGGTGGCTTTTGTGCAGAGGCGTTTCCACAAAGACATCTTCCCCAACCCTGTGCTGATGCTGAACTTCTGCCCAGCGGTGGAGGGCATCCCTGGGGACCTGCAGAGTGTCACCCGTGAGATCCTCTTCCTCATCGACCACAGCAGCTCCACAAGCAGCCCAGACCTTGAAAAGGTCAAGGTGAGGCACGGCGAGGGGTCCAGGGATGCTCCCTGGGTGGCTGGTCCTTAGCAACACTCCCTGGTCCCCAATGTCACCCCAGGAGGCTTTGCTGGTGGCCTTGAAGAGCCTCCCATCAGGGACCCTGCTCAACATTGCCAGCTTTGGTGCCAATGTCAAGCCACTCTTCCCATCCAGTCGCCTCTGCAGCAACGTGAGTGCTGCAGGCAAAGCCCCCCACCAGCCCCTCTCCGTCCCTGCCCCAGCTCCCTGGGGCTGGGGCTGTTGAGCTGAGGGACTGCTGTGAGGCTGGCTCTCTGTGCTGACAGGAGACCCTGCGCTGTGCCTGTGAGCACCTTGGTGGGCTGCGGGTAGACTCCAGCAACACCAACCTGCTGGCAGCCCTGGGCTGGGCGTTGGCACAGCCCCTCCACCACGGATACCCCCGCCAGCTCTTCCTCTTCACTGGCACAGCTGTGGGCAATGCAGGCAGGATCCTCCGGCTGGTGCGCAGGCAGGCCAGCACCGTCAGGTACAGCACTGGCACTGCGGCAGGTCACGGTGTTCTCCATATCCCCTGTGCTGTTCTCACCTATTTCACTTTGTGCAGCCCAAAGTCTCACCTCCTCCAGCCCCGAGGCTGTCCTTCACCCATCACATCCCTCAACCCACTGTCTTGGCTCTCCCCGGGGTGGCAGAGCCCAGCGTGCAGCCAGGGCAGCACTCCAGCTACCAGACATTCCAGCCCTGCTGCTGAGCTCACCACTGGGCTTGCCAGACACTGGCACCAGCCCGGCCATGGCTTTCCATTACCCATCTCTCTTGCAGGTGCTTCAGCTTTGGCATGGGCCCGCGGGCTTGCCGGCGGCTGCTGAAGGGCATGGCCAGGGTGAGCCGGGGCCGTGCTGAGTTCCTGAGCCCGGCCGAGAGGCTGCAGCCCAAGGTAATGCCCAGGCAGGGGCAACGGGGGGCCCTGGGGGCACTGCCGTGTCTGACACCTTGTCCTCTCCCCACCCCAGCTGATCAAGTCCCTGAAGAAGGCGATCGAGCCGGCCGTCAGCGACATCACCATCGACTGGTACGTCCCCGACAGCATGGAGGCTCTGCTCTCCCCCACCGAGCTCCCAGCTCTCTACCCTGGCGACTGCCTCATCAGCTACTGCGTCCTCTACAGCATCGCCCGCTTTGGCAACAGGCACCCCCCGGTATGACTGGCACCACTCTGGCGCGTGGAGGATGGCACGCTCCCGGCGCTGCTGGCTTCTACCCAGACCAGGGGGCTGATGGTGGTGCCCTCTTTCCCTTAGGGCCGGGAAGGGGCTCGCCGATGTTCCCGGGGCTCAGCCTTTCCCTCCCAGGAGGAGGTGCCCAGTCCTGGGGAGAGCCACCAGCCACGCCAGAGCAACCCAGGATCTGGGGATGCCTCCCTGGAGCTTTTTGCTGGGAGTACGGAGGTGTCAGAGCGGAGTGAGTGGGGGCCAGGGCCAGAGTGGGGAGCAGGTATGGGAGCTATGGGCTGACAGGGTGTCTGTTCATTGGGCAGGTATCGATCCCATATCGGGGGGAGACATCTGGAAGCGGATTTACCAACCCTCCTACATCCAGGAGCAGTATGTCTTGACACACTGTTCTGTCAGCACTGACCACAGCCGGGGGCTGCTCTCCCGCAGCTCCACCAGCAGTGAGTCCACTGGCTCTCGGGATGTAGCCCCTGAGGGAGGCTCTTTGGCCCCTGGTGCCGATGTCACCTCCCAGCAGGGCCAGAAGAGTCTGTCCCTCTGTGAATCCTCCACCAAATCTGCCCCACTGCCCTCCGCCCCAGCTGGCACCAAGGTAAGGATGTCAGTGGAGTCCAGGGGCTTGGGGTTGTCCCTGACTAAGCTGGGGTCTTGCTGCTCTGCTGTGCCCAGGCACATGGCTACTGGGCTGGGAAGCGGAGTGCTGTAGCCTGAATTTCAAGCAAGGATCAGCCATGGGTGTCATGAGGAGGTTCTTTGGGTGGTTTTCACTGCTGGAGTGGGACAGCTGGGGACCAAGCCGCTGGTCCCCCAGTGTCCCTGGCCAGCCATCAGCTGGGTGTCTAACAGACCCCTGAGCCTGCTCAGTGCCTCCTTGATGCCACAGAAACCAAGTGAAAATAACTGGGCCGGCATCAGGTAACAAATCTGCTGAGAGGAGGGGCCGGCTGGCTGAGCTCCTGCCTGGCTCCTTCAGCTCTCAGCAAATGCTGCCAGATGCTTCATTAGCGATGGGCCACATCCCTGCTGCTTCGTACCTGGGCTTAAAACCCAGCTGGGTCACTGGGATGGGGAGAGGCAGCTGCCCTGGTGATGATGGCCCTGAGGACGGGCGAGGCCAGCTGTCCCCCAGCCCCAGGACATGCTCCTTCCCGTGGCATGGGTTAGGTAACCCGCTCTCATCGCACAGCAGCACAGCTGGTGACCTTTGCTGTCGAAATGTCAAGCGTAAGTGATTTCTTTGCAGTGTAAATGATCCTCCCAGGCTCCCTGCTGCCTGGGCGAGAGGTGGTTTGGGTGCCGCTGCCCTGACATGGCTTTTAGGGGAAGCATCTTAGTGTGGGGACATCACTCTGCTCTGGGGACTGCATCCCACTGTAGCATCATCCAACCTGAACATCCTGGCTAACCCCGCTTCCTGCACACACACAAATCCCTGGCAACTCCAGCATCAGCCTGAGTCAGTCCCCAGGGATGTTTGCAAACTCCTGTCTGGGTTCTTCCCACGTGTATGGAGCCAGGCGAGCATCCTGGGAGGCTGCTGGTGCCAGCCTGCAGAGTAGTGGGGCTGGCAACAGCCAGTGGCTCCAGCCATCGACCAGAGGGGTGCAGATGCCACATCATGGCTCGGTGCAATCTGGGCTCTGTGCCAACACCTTTGCCGGGCTTGACAACAGCCTTGTCCCCACCACAGGTGACGGTGGCCCTGAGCACAGAGGAGCTGGCACGACAGAAGAAGGTGCTGGCACGTGGTGCCTTGGCTGGACGCAGCTTTTCCACACCGCACGGAGAGCTGGACACCCACCGGCTGTGCCGGGCCCTGGAGAAGGTGTCGCAGAAGAGGAACCAGTCCCTGCAGGGGCAGCTGGATGAGCTTGGACCCCAAGCACGGCAAATGCAGCCCAACACAGTGGAGTCAAGTGTGTGCTGCCTCTGGGGACAAGGGCGGTGGGGAGAGAGTCAGGTGCCCCTGCCTTGCTGATCCCAAACCTTGCCATTGCCCAGATAACCTCCTCTCGCCCACACCCCTGGACTGGGACATGCTGCTGGAGCCCTCCTACCTCTTCAGCACCTCACCAGCACCTGAGCCGAGGCAGCCCAGCCTGGGTGATGCCAGCCTGCCCCTGCGCTGCCAGGTGGTGATCCACGCCCTGCGAGCTGGCAAGCCTGTGTCCTGGGAAGTGACAGCCTCACTGGAGTCACTGCTGCAGCCCCAAGAGGGGCTGGGCAGGGAGGACCCACCGCGCCGGGGGGCCAAGGCCTGGGACAAGCCGCTGCACCGCCTGGCAGCGCGCTCCATCATCCGGGACAATGAGAGCGCGGCACAGCGGGAAGCTGAGCTGGAGCAGGGTGGGTGCCAGTGCGTGTCCCCCCTCAGGGCAGCCCTGGCATTTCTCTCTCCCTAAACACCTTGCTCTCGCCAGGTTTTGCCCGCCGGTTTCGCCTGAAAGCCGTGCAAACCAGCAAAGCCTGCAATGTGCCTTCCCTCTACACCCGCCTGGTGCCTGTGGACAGTGCCACACAGGCAGCACTGCCTGCAGCCCCCGAGGTGTGGAGCACAGGTATGGACAAGGGTCTGGTAGGATGGGGAGGAGGCAGTGAGGGGACAGAGGGTTGAAGTGGCATCATCCCTTGCAGCTGGCTCAGCCAGCCGGACACGAGCTGCTGCGGCAGGGAACTGGCACCACCGCAGCTCCTCAGCTGGGCAGGGCCAGCACCAGCATGCAGAAGAGCAGGATGAGGCCCCTGGCACTGCAGGTACCAACTCAGGCCTTTATTCAGCTTATGCTTCCGAGGGACTGGCACAGGGGTCCCTGGGGATCCTCAGCTGGTGGTTGCATGGGTCTGGTCCTGCCTGGAGTGTTGTGGATGCCTGGAAAGAGGCAGCAGCTGTGAGTGATGAGGCTTCCTGGAGCTCAGGGCCCCTCAGGACTTTGCTCTTTTGCAGAGCAAGACGAGACCCCCAGGACTCCAGCCAGCATCTCCTCCCCCACCTACGGCTGGGAAAAGCAGAACTGCTCAAACGGTGTGTCCAGGCTGGCAGGGACCAAGGGATGGATGAGGGGGGGACACAGGGGGCACTCTGACACCCTACTGCTGGCAGCTGAGAGCTGGAGCATCCACTGTGCCCTCTCCACCCTGGGCACACAGGCTGAGCCACTGTACCAGGTGGCGGGGAATGGGATGCACCTCTGCGTGCATCATGTTCCCGCTGTGCTCAGCTCTTCCCCCTTGCAGGGCCTCCATCCAGCCCCTCCACCACCTCCATGGGCTCCCAGAAATCCACAGAGAGCATCGCTGGCTCCAGGTGACGCTGTGGGATGGGGGGATGCAAGGGACCAAAAAATGGCATGTTGTGGGGAGAGGGGAACAATACCACTTTTTGGGTGCTGCTGGTCCAATGTCCTCTGCCAGCTCCTGCAGCATAAGTGGGGGATTTGGGGCTCCAGCCCCTTCCCTGCAGCAGGCTGGGGTCCAGCTGCCCTTTGGGAACTTCCCCCCGCCCTGTTACATTGCCTGTTGCCCCACAGGTTTAGCCTGAGCAGGCGCAGGGGTCCCAGCCTGGCGCTGCGCCCGCAGTGCCTCAGCCCGGAAAGCGAGTGCTCCAGCAACCATGTGATCCATGACTACCTCCCACTGGTAAGGACCCCATCCCAGTCCCTATCCCCATCCCACTGGGGGGACATTCCCTGCTGGGTGCCAGCCAAGCTGCCCAGGTCACACCCAGCAGCACCAACAGCAGAAGATGCAATCCTGGTAGGTGCCTGCTCAGCCCTGCTGCCTCCTTGAATGTCTCTGAGGATCTTGGCCGGCATTTTGGGGGCCACTGGATTGTCCCTGTGCCCCAGGGACACTCCTGCAGCCCTGTCTTCCCTTTGCAGGTGCAGCTGCAACAAGCCACGGGGCCATTCCAGCTCACCGAGAGCTTCTCCGAAGTGGTGCAGATCCCCCTGGACCGCCTGCGCCGGGCCTCCCCCTACGCCTCCCACCGTGCCAGCCTCAGCCCCGTGTCCCCAGGGGCCAGGAGCAGCCCCAAGGCAGGGTCCACTGGCGAGGAGGGCGAGGAGCCCACCACAGACCCACAGCCCAGCTCGCCCCCATCCCGGAGCACTTGCTCCGAGGTGCCCAGCGCAGCCGTATGGGCGCAGGCGGACAGCGGGCACGGCTCCGAGTCCGACACCTGCCCCCACTCAGCTGCCCCCTCCGAGGCTGGTGTGAGCTGTCAGGACATGGCACCGGAGGACCTGGAGAGTGCCAGCTGGGCCACAGCAGTGGCCTTGGCGTGGCTGGAACATCGCTGTGCTGGATTCTTTGAGGAGTGGGAGCTGGTGGCGGCCAAGGCAGATGCGTGGCTGCAGGCGCAGCAGCTGCCCGAGGGGGTGGACGTGGGCTGCCTCAAAGGGGCAGCCAGGCACTTGTTCCTGCTGCTGCGTCACTGGGATGAGAACATCAAGCTGAACATGCTGTGCTACAACCCCAACAACGTCTGACAGCCACCCGCGGGGCCAATAAAGACACCTGGCTCCGAGCCATCTGCACTGGCGTCTCTCTTATGGGCAGCAAGCCGTCGGCTCCATTCAGGCCACATCAGGGCTCACTAGAATCCTGGGAGGGGGTCACCGCCTTCTCAACCATCCACCATGGAAGGGAGCAGACAGGGAAAAGGAAAAGTTGGCCTGGAGGGATTCCTGGGCTCCATCAAGGCAATTCAAACCTTGAGGCAAAGCTGTTTTGCAGATTCTCTGTTTTAACCCCACCCCAGAGGCTGCTCACCTGCCCTGGGCCCCCCTCTCCCTGGGCTAGGAAGGGAGTGCCTGTGGCTCCAGCAGCTGTTCTGCCTTCCCCCAGGTGAGCCAGGTCCAGGGACAGCTGCTCTGACACCATCATAGCACAAGGACGTTGGGGAAGGGCACATAAAAGCCCCCTTTATTGCGGAAGTCCTGCCTTTTGGGGGTCCCCACACCACCCCCCTTTGCACAGTTCCAGGGCTTATGGCTCTCCTGAGATGACTGCAGGCAGCCTGGGAGCCAGGTGGGGAAAGAGCAGGCAGAAGTGGCAGTCCCAGAGGCCAGTTCCCATTGTCTGGCCTTCCACACTCTCACTGGGCTTTCTTGGACGTGGCTGTGCGTTTCCTGCTCGGTGTGGGGGTGTGTGACACCGGCGTGGGGGCCGTTCCGTACCAGAGCTGGAGCAGGATGAGTCCATGGCAGATGTGGAGGGAGAGGGAGCTGCAGACTGTGGAGGGGTAGGTGTTCCAACAGAGTTCGATCACACCCAGGAGAAGCACCCTGCAGGGGAAAAAGCTGGGGGTCTGCATGGGAGACATACACGAGCCCCCCTTGCTCCCAGACCCCCAGCAGCTGGGTACTCCCCCTCTCTGGCAGCACATACTTGGGCATGTGGGCGAGCTTGCTGGTTGGGGTGCACCAGAGTAAGTAGGGCAGTGTGTGGAAATACCAGACGTAAAACTGGTAGTGCAGGGAGCGGCTCCAACAGACACCCAGGAAGTTGGAGGAGAAGAGGATGAAGACAATCTGTGCACTGGCATTAAGGGGGCAAACATCAGAGGCTGGAGGTGTGATCCCACAACAGCTGCCCAGCTATCCAGCACAGCTCCTTCCTCCAGGATGCTGGTCCTGGCATCACTGAAGGACCTGGAGCCTGACCAAGGTCCTCCCTGCCTTCTCCCTGCCCTTGCTGCCCACCCTGCCAAAGGATATCGTTGACCGTCAAGGGAGGGGATGAGGGTTTCCTTTTGGCAGGATCCTTCAGCAAAGTCAGGATGCTGTCTTTGGAACTGAGGGAGAAGCACAAAGATCAATCTCAGCTACTGAAAGTCTCTTCCACCCCAAACCTCCCCTGTGAGCCATGATGCTTGGGCAGCATGCTCCCCAAAACAAAACAGTAACACCCCCCAACTCCCACCTGCAACTCCAGGAGTGGAGCACTGGGGGGGAAGGCGAGTCACGGATCTGTATCCTGCGCTATGGGGACTGGCAGGGACCAGCACCCAAGGGGAACCCCAGCTCTCACCTGTGCCACCGGCGCAGTGCGAAGAGCCCCAGGCCAGCCAGGTGAGCCAGGAGCAGCGCGGTGTGGAAAGCCCGATTCTGGAAAACCTCTTCTGGGAGGAAGCGCCAGTTCACCGTCCATTTGAACTGGAACTGGCGGCCCAGGTCGAAGGAGCGGGTCAGGTACCCTATAGGGTTTACCAGGAGGAAGGGCAGCCCTAGAACCACCTGCCAAGGACATACCAGCACCATAGCAGCAGCCGTACGCCACCTCTGTCACCTCCTCAGTGCCATGAGGGGCGACAGGGACACTCATCCAAAGATGAAAGCCCCGTGAATTAGATTATTTATCAACCTCCAGCTTGTTGCATGGGGCCAGCACAGCTGCTGGTGCCACTGTACCCACCCATGGCTCTCCAGCCCGGCAGGATGCTGTGACACAGCCAGGCAGCCCACTATTCCTTGCTCCTGTAGCTACTGCAAGCAGGGACCCACCTGGAGCAGGGCACAGATGCAGAGCTTGGGGATACAGCCCAGGAGACCGAAGCGCCGCAGGAGAAGGAAGAGGAGTCCAGGTGCGAAGAGCAGGATGTTCATCTTCACAGACACAGCCAGGCTGAGCGGGAAGCTGCGTTACCACTTCGGATCCCACACAGGAGCCCGGGCAGCCCCCGAGCCCAGCACAGCCTCCTCCCCAGGGCCCAGCTGGCTCAGGCCCCCAGCTCCTTACCTGAAGAGGAGGCAACCCCAGGACCAGCGCTCCTCCAGGAAGAGGTTGATGGCGAGGAAGAGGATGGCCATGGCCACGGGGTCATTGAAGAGCCGCAGCACAAAGATGGAGTGGATGCGGTACGAGGCACAGCACATGAAGAAGAAAACGTACGGGGGGACCTTGCAGGAGGCAGAGGCACACAAGGGTCAGCACGCTGTCACTGAGCCCCTGCTGCCTCTGAGCCCCTCCAAACCTGAGAGCCCTGCCCGTGTTGCCGGGGTGAGGATTCAGCAGTGCAGGGCAGGCCCTGAGACGGCCTGCACGGGCCCTGGCCCCAGGGTACCTTGTTGGTTCGGCAGTAGATGCGGAAGACAAGGAGGAGGTTGAGCAGGTAGAGGGCAGCGAAGAGATACTGCGCCAGTCGGATGTCGGAGCCATGGCCCGTGGCGTGGTACAGCCCGAGGAAGATGTAAACGAAGCCAGCAGGGTAACTGTGGGGAGATGGGAGTGAGGGGCCAGGCCCTGCGGCCCCTCTGGGAGCCACCAGTCCCAGGGAGCTGGGTGTCCCTCACTCACACCAGTGGTCCCGTGTCACCCTTCAGCTGGGTGTAGTCCAGGGTCCCGTTGGCGAAACCCTCCACCTCCTGCATGTAGGCCTTCCAGTCGATCTCAGTGTCTGTGAGGACAGAGAGGGGGTCAGGTGGGGCAAGGGGGGCCGGGGAGCACTGCAGGGCATGTGGGGGCTTATCCACCTCCAGACCCGCCAACCTGTCCCTGTGCCTCCCTGCCATGCTGCCAGCCCAAGCTCTGCTCTCCTGGCCCCAGCCCCATCCAGGGCCCCAGGCTGACCCCTCTGTGTGCTGCTGGACCCCCAGCCCACCCCTGCATCCCCCCACCGTCCTACCCAGAGCCCCCCAGCCCATCCCTGAGTGCATCGCTGCGCTCATCCAGGACCCCCATCCCATCCCTGTGTCCTTCTCTGACCCCTCCAGGACCCCCAGCCCACCCCTGCATCCCTCCCATCCCTTCTAAAACCCCCGGCCCCTTCCAAGGCCCCCTTCCCACCCCTTTGGCCACCCCATCCCCGTCCAGGACCCCCAGTCCACTTCTGCACGCCCCCGCTCCTACCCAGGACCCCCAGCCCGACCCCTGCCAGGGGATGCCTGTTCCCCGCCGGGGCCGGAGCGGCCCTGTCCCCCGCCCGCGGGATCCCCGCCCCAGGGCCAGCCCCTCCTCGCCGCCCCCCCGGGGCCGAGCTGTCACTGTCACTGTCATTGTCACTGTCACTGTCACTGCCCCCGCACCGCCCCGCACCGCCCCGGACCGTCCCCGCAGCCCCCGCGGGGCCAGCGCCGCACCGGCCCGGGCCGCGGCACTCACACGGCACCCTGCGGATGACCCAGAGGTTGACGCCGCCCTCGGCCAGGCACAGGCAGGCGGCCACCAGCGGGGTGTAGCGGGGCTCCAGCAGCGCCGCCCGCCGCTCCCGCCATGCCCGCCGCAGCGCCGCCGCCCCCCGCCCCGCCGCCATTGCCGCCCCGCGTTTCCGCCCGGAGCGCTCAGCGCGGCGCACTCGGCGCGGGCCGGAAGCCGCACGTGGCTCCCGGTGCTCCCGCCCCGCTCCCGCGCATGGAGCGGCGGCGCGCGCCCCCCGCCGCCCCCCGGTACGGCCGGCGCCGCTTCTGGGGCGCGCGGTACCGGCGGGAGGGCGCCGAGACACGCGAGTGGCTGGGGAGCCTCTCGCGGTTCCTCCCGCAGCTGGAGCCCGAGCTGCGCCCCGGTGACCGTATCCTCGTGCTCGGTACGTGCCCCGTGCCCGGTGTGCCCGGTGGAGGGCGGGCAGAGCGCGGGGTCCCGCCGGTGGATGCGCTGGCCACCAGGGGGCGGTGCGGCACGGCACCAAGCCGGTAGCGGGAGGTGCTCCCGGCCCGGCCGCGGCCGGGGGTGCGGGCGGGCGGGCGGCAGGGCGGGTATAACCGCCCCGTAATCCCACCTGCAGGCTGATCCGCCGCCGGCCCGGCGGGATTAGGCGGGTGTAATCACCGATCCTGTTAGCGGATCAGCCGCTGCCAGCTGCGCTTAATAGCTCCCAAATCCGCGCCCCCCCCGGAATCCCCCCTGTCACCCCGAGGAGCGGTCGAGCCTCGGCGGAGCGGCTCTGAGGGTAGGGCATGGGAGGGGGCGTCTCACAGTGTCCTGCTGGAGAGGGTGCTGTTCCCTGAGACATCCCTCTGTCCGTCCATCCAGGTTAAATCCCCCCTCCGAAACTGCACGTTCCCCTACTTTCCTACTGCAATTTCTCAGCAGCTTCTTAGAGAGCATGGCTGACTCCTGACCCACAGCACTGCTGGGGGAGGACCGGGAGCGCCTCCTGCCCCCTCCCTACCTCCAGCCTCTCCATCTATCCCACCCCAAGGTGTGGGGATCCAGTGTGCAAGGCTGCCCCAGGACAGGAGCCCAAAGCACCCATCTGACAGGATGGGGGTAATTAATAAATATCCCAACACTCACTAACTGGCATCAAAGCAATGACCTGCCCCTCTCCAGCAGCCCCAGCCCACCCACCCATGCCCTTTCCTGGGTCCAGAGGAATAGATCTGGTCCAGGTGCCAGCCCCCCTCCATGGGCATCCCCATCCCCATGGTGAGCTGTGCCCCCCACAGGCTGTGGCAACAGTGCCCTGAGCCACGACCTGCACAAGCTGGGCTACACCGACGTCACCAGCATCGACTTTTCCCCCGCCTGCATCGCCGCCATGCGCGCCCGCTGCGCCCGCTGCTGCCCC